GGAGAGGGGACGAGTGATAGGTGATTTTTTTTTTTTTTTTTTTGTACCAAGGATCAAACTCGGGTCCTTGTGCTTGTGAGGCAGGCAGAGGAACCACTGAGCCTGATCCCCAGCCCAATGTGATGGTATTTTAATGAATTTAAGTAGCCAGGGAGAAAATGTATAATACACACCCACACAGTGGACTCTGATCCAGCAATAAAAAGAATGAATTTGAACACACATTATACCATGGATGAACCTTGAAAACTGTGCTGAGTGAAACAAACAAACAACAAAAAACAAAAGCAAAGCAAAAACAAAAGTCCCAGCTGCAAAAGTCACATATTCTGTGACTCCATTCACATGAAATGCGCAGAACACCAAATCCAGAGACAGAGCCCAGTGGTTGCAGGGGGGTGGGGTCGGAGCGCGCGTGATTAGAAGAGGGGTTGGAGCGTCGTGGTGAAGTTGAGGGGCTTTCTTTGTGGGGTGATGAAAATGTTCTAAAATTACCTCGGAAGTGGCTGCACAACTCTGGGAAGGTACTAAAGCACCGAGATGGGCACTTGAGTGACTTTGATATGCACCCAGCAACGGACATAATTGCTGGGATATGAAGTAGATCTCAGTGAGGCAGTTAAAAATGCACATGGGAGAAGAAAAAGGTAGCCCCGAGAGGCTGCCGCACAGGGTAGCACAGGTCAAGGACAGAAGTGTCACGAAGGTGGGGGTTGGGCCTGGATTCCAAGCCACTTTCCTCTCCCTGTCTCCAGCTGACAGCTTCCAGGCAGGCGCAGGGAAGTGGCTGGGGCCCAGGCCATGCCCAAGAGGGGCACCTACCATCTCCATGGAGTCGTCCACCGACAGGAGGGTCTGCAGACGCTTCCGCTGCAGCACGTTGGTGAACTCCATGTGGATGGGCTTCATGGGTCCGGTGTAGCGCATTATCCAGTGCTTGTCCAGGTTGGGTGCATAGTTGTAGCTCGGTGTGCTGGTGGCAGACACAGTGGTCAGGCCTGGGTGCGTGGCCTAGGCCCCCAGATGTGCCTCGGATGAGCGGCCATCATAGGTGGTGGCTTGCCCTACTTGGGACGAGGGACTTTGGTGTGTCCGGAGCTCTGCTAAGCACCCTCTCAGTGCGAGCTAGAACCGAATGACCGTGAACCACCAAGTGAGAAAAGCAGCCCCTTTCCTACTCTCTCAGGCCAAAGCCTGAGCTTGGTGCCAGTCTTTCTGTGACACTTTCTGGAGTTCGCTCATCTCCCTTTTTATTTGTTTTGGGGTTTTTTTGTTGTTTTATTGAGACAGGGTCTCATTATGTAGTTGAGACTGCTCTAGAACTATGTAGCACGGGCTAGTCTTGAACTCACAGCGATCCTCCTGCCTCAGCCTCCAGAGTGCTGGGATTACAGGCGTGCGCTACCATGCCCTGCTACTCATCTCCCTTTTTAAAGAACACAGAGGGCCCAGTTCAGCAGACCAGTGGGCTTCTAATTTCCGAGATCCGCTGTGTGTGTTCCTCAGCTGCTCCTGGAGTGACATGGGGCAGTCACTGTGGGGGAGGGGTCTACACAGTGTCCTTCCGCAATGGATTTTAGTTTAAAAAGGTAGGGAATGGATTTAAAAACCAAGTACAGCCGGGCGTGGTGGCGCACACCTGTAATCCCAGCACTTGGGAGGCTGAGGCAGGAGGATCACTGTGAGTTTAAGACCAGCCTGGGCTACATAGGGAGTTCCAGGTCAGTCTCAACTACATAGTGAGACCCTGTTTTAAACCCCACCCCCCAAAAAAACCAAGAACATTATAGTTATGCACATACAGCCCAAATCCTGAGGATGGCATCCCGATGCTCCTATCATGGACATGTCACGTTTCTTAACTGTCACATTATTACTCTTCTAGTTATTTAACTCTCATGTACTAAAGAGCTGGTCAGAGGAGTCTGGGACCAGCGAGGGTCTCACCGAGTGAGGAAGACATCCTGGACCCTGGGCTTCCTGCCATGTGGCAGCTACGATGAAGAATGTTAAATACACGGTGACCTTTACGAGCAGTGACCATGTGCTGGGCACAGTCTGAAGGGCTCAGCCTTTATCATTGCATGTAATACAGTGGTCTGAGGAGCTGGCACTATTTTCACTCTCCCTGGGTGAGGGGGGAGGGAACTGACGGGCCACAGGCAGGCACCGGGCTTGAACTGTGGCAGCCAAGATGGCCACCACCCCCGAGTTAGCACCAACGCCTCCCGCCTGGCTCCCAGGGCCAGTCTGGGGTCCCTCACATCACAGGTGCTTGGGCCAAACTGACCGAGAGGCTCCCGTGGGAGGATTAAGCTGTGGAAACACAGAGGTGATCTCAGCTCCTGGCCTTGGCACTGTGTATGGCTCCGTATGGCGTCACTTCACGCCAAGGCAAGAGTACCTTCTGTCGCCTCTGCTCACGCGGACCCGGGATCTGAGGTACCGAAAACCCCACCAACATGCAGGGCTCACAGGTGTATCACACCGGTGCTGGGACACAGTACTTCATGCCCAGAGGAGGGGGCGTCTCTCACGGTGGTTCTGATGACACTCGAGGCCCAGGTTCCCCTCACATCTCGCCCTGCCCAGCCAACGCTGCCAATGACGCTTCTGGATATCGAGGGCTGAGAGGCTGAGGGAGGCGGGACGGGTCTTAGTGCCCGCTAGACAGTGACGCTGCAGCTTTCCCTAGCCTGATGGAGACCGTTGCTATGCGAAGCAGGAGGAAGTCACAGCCTGGAGACTCCTTCTGGACTTCTCTGCTGATCTGCAGCCTCCTGCCGCTAAATCCTCTCTGGCCCACGCTCCCTTTGATTATGAGAGCGCTGCTCTCCCCGGAGGCCGGCTCAGGGCCTGACCTGTGTGTTGAACATTCTCGGGAACAAGGCCTCCTCCCCGCTGAGGAGCAGGAGCGGGGCTGTGGGTGGGGTCAGCAGAGCCCTTCCGAGGCTCCAGGGTGTGACTTTCGGCAGTGATCCCCGACTCCCCCAGAAGAGGCCAGGGCTGCCCGGACAGCACAGTGACTTGCAGCCTGTCCTCCGAGAGACCCCTTTGTGAGGATTCTGAGGCCAGAAGGATGAGCTGTGCCTTGGGGCCCACACAGCGGGTCTCCTGGATCAGACAGGGCTCCCACACAGTCCCTCTGCCGAACAATCGTGAGACCGTCTCCTCTCCCAGGGCACCCGGGGAAGGTCTGGGCGCCCCCAACAGGCTCGAGGGAACAGCCCCTCTCTTTCCCAGGGGCCGAGTGCAGGAGGGTGATTTGGCCCTCAGGCCGAGCCGAGAGCTGTGAACAGCAGCCCGACACCCTGCACCCCAGGCTGTAACACAGTCCCAGGGAGGAACCAGGAGGCCCCGAGCCCACTGGAAGGCCCGGAAGGAAGCTCTGTGTGCTTGCCTGTGTGCGTGTCTGTTCAGCCTGTGTCTTTGTGTCTGTACGTCTGTGTGCATCCCTGTGTTTGCACGCCTGTGCTTTTCGGTATTTTTGTGTGTCTGTGTGCCACTGTCTGTGCGGATGTGGTGTGTGTATGCGGTGCGTCTGCACGCATGTCTGTGAGTCTGTACCCGTGTGTGTGTGTGTGTGTGTGGGCGTGTGTGCACGGGGATGGGGATGGGCAAATGGGCCAGGGTAAGGCGGTGGTGCAGCAGCATCTGTCCGCTGGGACAAGGGACAAGGGACAAGGCAGTCTCGCTGGGGGCAAGAGAGATCTGACCCAAGGGTGCAACAGGAAGACCCAGCGCTGTGCTGCACACGTGTGGCCTGTCCCCTCCTCAGCCCCCCTTGACTGAATGAAACGTCATCATGAAATGTCCTAACTGCAGAATTTGCTTTTTGATGCTATTATACCCCAGAGACCAAAAGAGCCTCCCAAATGTGCCCCAATGAGGCAGAGGGTTCTCTGAGTAAGCAACAGTGGGTACTGCTCATTTTCAATGTCTGTAATTTCATTTCAAGGAGGCAATTGAGCAGGCAATGTCAAATGATCTCATGCTACAACTTGGGGCCACTGGGGCAGAGCCAACCCCTCTTCTGTAGGAGCTGCGGTGCCCCTCTTTGCCTTTTGTCTCTGGGATGGGTGGCCTGGGCCACGGAAGCCATGGGTGGGAAGGGAGGCCGGGGTGGAGGGGAGCAGATGTGCAGGAGCCAGGGGTCCAATGTGCTGAGGAGACACTGCCGTTCTGGGCCTGAAGGTGGCGCTGTGGCTCCAGAAAGCGGTTGATCACCTGCGGTCAACTCCCCGGAGGACGGGGGTGGGGTGGAGTGGGGGGTAGAAGGTAACACCCAGCACTATCCTTTCAGAGACACTCCGGATGCTGTCAGAAAGTAATTACAGTGAGGTGGGTGAGGAGGGCAATGTATTCTGATCTTAATGAAAATTAAACACCCTGAATGTTCGGGTAGATTCCAAATTGCCCTGTCCTTGTCGCCCTGGAATGTCACAGGAAGGACTGCTGAGTATCACGGCTAAGTGAGAGATGGTTTGTGGTAATGAAAAGCCAGAGTACTTTCCAGAAAGATATACCAAGCCAGCTGGATGGAGGAGGGGGTGGGCAGAGATGGGACACACCAGTGGGAACTGGATTGGAACCCTAGCTCTGCCACTTAGCAGCTGAGTGACCTCAGGTACCTGTTACCTCACCTCCCTGGGCCTCAGTTTTCTCATCTTCAAGATAAGAATGCCACGTGTGATAGGCAGCCTTACAGATGGCCTTAATGACCCCACAGTGTTCTCTGTGACCAATGGAATATGGCAGTATGATGGTGTCGCTCTGAGATTATAAAAGATGGCCGCTTCCACCTTGGCCTCTCTTTCCCTCATTGTCCTCCCAGGACCAGGATGCCACTACCGTGCTGTCTAGACACTCGCGCAGTCCTGGAGGGGCCCACACCGCACAAACCAGCCAGGAGGGCACGCCCCAGGCCAGGCTCAGGTGACAACAGCCCCAGCTGCCACCTCAATTCAGCCTGAACTTGAGACCCTAGGACAGGACCTCAGAAAAGTGACTCCCAGATCCCTGACACCCAAGACACTGTTTTTTTTTTGTACCAGGGATTGAACTTGGGACCTTGCACTTTTGAGGCAGGTGGGGGGAACCACTGAGCTGAATCCCCGGCCGCAAACACTGTTGCTTCATGCCGCTAAACGACTGAGTACACTGTTATGTGGCAATGCGTAACTGATACACCAAGGGCTGCTGTGAGTACAAAGGGACCTGATGCCACCTGATACGGCTTAGCACAGAGCCCTCCACAGTCAGCAGCTGGTGGAGCTCAGGACCCCTTCTCCAAAGAATGTTCTCGAATGTAGGACAGAAAACCCACAGCCTCATAAAGGAAGCTTCACGTTGCAGTTCTGGCCACAGCCAGTGGTGGGAAGACCCGAATCCCAAGTTATTAAGAACTCTGCCTCCTGCTCTGGTCTGTACCCAGGCCGGCGCATTTGGATCCCAGCAGGGCCACAGACCCTGGGACCCTTAGGTGGGAGGCCTAGAGAAGGCACAGCAGTCACCGCGATCCCAAAAGCCTGCCCCACCCACCTTCCAGCTACCCAGCAGCTCTGCCAGGCAGGGCTGAGGCTTACATGTGCTGGGATGCGTTGGGGAAGAGGTGTGAGTATTGGGGGGCCGAGTCCTCAGGGCCGTGAGGGGCTGCGTGGCTGATGACCATCAGGACTGGCCTGTGTGGGTACATCTTCTTGGACGTGCGGAAGAAGCTCACGCTGTCGTTGGTGATGAGATCTGTGAGGTAATCCTGGAGGGGAGAGAGGAGAGCGATAAGGAGCCATGTCCACACTGAGTGACCCTGTGTGTCACGCACCGAATGGGTCATAGCAGCGAGCAAAAACCCTGTCCTGTGGAGCCCACAGTTCCATGGGCCGGACAGACGGTACGTCAGCGAGTAAAATGTACAGAATGGCATGGTGCTCAGCAGAGCAGAGCTTAGGGAGCACTGGGAAGAACAGCCCTTTGTCATTCCTTCATGAGAGACGTTAAAAGAGTAATAGCTAACTTTGAGTGCTGATGATGCACTGAGAACTACTGTTTGTATTAGTTCATTTAATGCTCACATCATCATAGAAAGTTGATATGATGACAATCCTGATCTTTCAAACAGGAAATCAGGGCACAGACAAGTTTAGTACATAGTCCAATGTCACACAGCTGGTAACTGTTGGAGCCAGGACTCCTGATTCTTGGTTCCTCGATCCGAAGTCTTTTCAAGGCCCCGAGGGCACCACACGGCGGGATGGGTACATCTCTGTATCCCTAAGTGCCTATGCTGGGGACAGGAGCAGACAGCGTGTGAATACAGAACCAGGATTGTTACAAGGTGTGATGAGTGAGGGAAACAAGACAAGGAGATGTGACATCCTAGAGGAACTGGAATTTAGCCGGGACAGCCAGGATGCCTGTCTGAGGAGGTGGCCGCCAAGACCTGAATGGTGAGCAGGAACTGGGTGCAGGCAGGGCTGTGCCCCTGGACTTCAGGCCCAGCTGCTGCTAGAGCCCCTGGGGGCTTCACTGACCCCCAGGCCAGGCTCATCTCCAAGCGCAGGTGCTGTAGGCCTGTGGTGCAGCCCAGGTGACACTTGGTAAACGCTCCCCAGGGGTGCCAGTGTGAAGCCAGGCTCGAGAATCACTGATCCCGAGGAGGGGTTCTGGGCAGAGGAACAGCAAATGCAAGGGGTCTGTGGCAGGGAGGGCTTGGCGTGCGTCCTAGGACCACAGAAGACCACGGTGGTGGCTGGTGTCTCAGAAAGAGGGTGACAACAGCAGCAGATAAAGCAGAGGTGATACAAAGAGCAGCATGCCTGCGTGTGCACCTACACACAAAGGGCACACGGTAATCTTCAGAAAACTGAGGAACCAGAAGAGCTGGAGGAAAAGAAAACAGCCCGAAACGGAGGGCTTTAAAAGCTCAGCTAAGAGGCCGAGATGTGCATAAGCCCTTTTAAAACTTGGTAAATCTTTAGCTGCTGATTCCCCATTAATTTTGAGTTTTTGAAATGTACTGTTTCCTAAAAAGCATCTGCCCCAGAGTATCACTTTCAAAGAGAGAGACTGGAGAAAGAAAGAAAGAAAAAAAGATAAAAAGGGGGCTTCAGCTCCCATTCTGAAGCCAAGCGTCCTACACGTGTTCCTGCTGTGATGGCTTCATGTATGCAAGGCACGAAGTTTGGGTGCATGCGTCTTCTGTCTGCAGGAATGGGAGCAACCACTCGGGTGCCGCTTACAGAGCAGAGGCACAGCGCAGGGACCAGCCGCGCCATGCCGTGCAGGAGGTCGGTGGGCCCTGCTGTGGAAAGCTGTCCACGACACGCTGTAAGGGAAAGGCCAGTGGACACAGCGGAAGGGGAGCCAAACCCTGACCTCGAAGCTCTGAACACCAAGCTATCAAGTGCTGACTGAGGACTGGGAAAGGGCAGGATATCACTCAGTACTTTACATACTTTTCCTTCGATCGTTTTTAATGGAATGATCTTAAAAATGGGTAAGAAAATGTTTCAGGAGGGGGCATTGATGAATCTATTACACAGAATATATTATATAAATCACAAGAATTGGTGCTACAGTCATAGGCATGATCTAAAAGTATTAGGTTTTTTTCTTTTTGAGACAGCTATATAGTTCAGATTGTCTTGAACTCACTATGTAGCCCAGGATGGCCACGAACTCAACGGTCCTCCTGCCTCAGCCTCCCCAGTGCTGGGATTATAGGCGTGTGCCACCACACCCAGCTAGACACGGGGTTTTTTAAAGTGACAAAGGTAACCACCGGCTGAAGCTCACTGCTTAAGGCCAGTGACATGGGTGGGAAGAGGACTGTTGCTCCTCACAACCAAGCCACTTTCTCTCTGGGTTCTAGAGCTAGAAAACTGTTAGCAGGCAGATGGTTAGTACACATTTTGAATCATGGTTTCAGGACTCTCCATTCCCAGGACAAGACATAAGGATGGGCGTGTACAGCAGCAGAAAAAGAACAAACTCGGAGCCACACAGATCAACACGGGCCACACATGGCTTCATGTGACGACGGTTAAATGTCACAACACGGAGAAGTCTTATATCACATTAGGTGAGCCACAGACTGGGCAGAACATCACTTATATAAAAGTCTAAGAACACACAATATCTGAGATACCTGCCGCGGATATAAAGCGATCAGCACCGAATTTGGGTCCGGTCACCTCCAGAGGAGGTGGGTGAGACCTGCGAAGGAATGCTCGGGCTCGCACAGGCTCTGTGACAGCCTCAGTCCTACGCCGGATTTCGGCACCTGCCTCTCAGTCGGGCCGAGAGTTTCAAGCGCTGATAGCTGTTAAGCTCCCATCACTGTGCTCCGCACAGCTGGCTTTTGAGAAGGTTAAACCAGGAATTTTGATGGCCTTGAGCTTGGCAGGTTTGCTGCATGCCCGAGAGCTGCTCATCCTTACTGGTCTGCGCAGACTCCCCTCCTCTCTGCAGGGACATCAGCACGCCCCTCCTTCCTTCCTCCATGTGGACACTGCAGGTGGGGACTCTGGGGAGGCCAAGAGAACCAGCGTCCCTCTGGCCACTTCTCAGGGGACAGAGTGAAGGACCAGGGTCTGGGCCGTGGTGGTGGGGACGCTGTGGCCTTGTTTGGGAGAGACAGACCAGGTCCCTGACTGGATTGAGGAGGGTGTAAGATGGACAGGAGGCTCCCTGTCCCTGTTGGCTTCTGTTCAGGTGGTTGGGGGAAGCGTATAGAATCAGGGGTCCAGGAGAAAGAGAAAAGGCAAGGTTGAGGCAGGGGTGTGTGTGTGTGTGTGTGTGTGTGTGTGTGTGTGTGTGTGCAGAGTTCAGATCTGGATGAGCCAGGTTTGGAGCGTCTGGTGGGCCACGGGAGAGGTCTTCGAGATTCAGTCAGGTGAGCAGGTGGGAAGGCAGCTGGTCACTATCGCCCTGGGGGAGGGCTGTCCACTCCCTGCTGGGGCCAGCCCAGCACCCTCACCCAGGGCAGGACCCGGGGTGAGCAGGAGTAGCCCTTGCCTGCACACTTCTGGCACACCTACGCGGGGGCGCTGTGAGGCCAGGGCCTGGGACCCTGCTCCTGCTGGGACGTGGAAGTGACAGCTGGAGAAGGCCAGGGTGGCTGAGGTGACACCTGCTGTGGAGCCTTCCTGGAGGTGTCCCCAGTCGCCAGCCATGTTCTATAGGATTGCTAGCCTGTGGTCCCCAAGCTGTCACCTGGCCATGGCTGCGTCCACAAAGGGCAGGCAGGGCATGTGACTGGGGCACCGGGTGACACCCCTGAAGGCTCAGCGCTCTGGGCCGAGCTCCGTGGTCTCCTCTTTTATTTGCTAAAGAGACAGCTGATGTCCCACTTAGCTTGGTGCCTGGGCAGGGTGGGTCCTGTCCCCGTGGTGCTTTCTCCTGTTCAGGGGTTCTGGCTCCCTCGGGATCGCTGTGGCTGCTGGGAAAGTGACCAGAAGGACAGGAAGGCACAGGTGAGCCGCGGCAGGGCCCTGCTGGTGCCGCCCAGGGGTCCTGCTTGCCCGCAGAAGCCTTGAGTTTCTGTCTTGTTTGTACCCAGCTGAGACGAATTCACTCAAATCCCACAGGGCATCTCCCCAGCTGCCCAGCCCTGGTGCGAGGTGTGTGGGGGGTGGCGGCCTCTGCTTGAGCTGCTCTCTTCAGCCTACACAAAGGGCCTGCTTTCCTGAGCCACCGGCTTCCAGGCAGCAGAGTTCTCGAATTTCCTTTGCAAATCGCAGTGCTGATCCCTCGACCCTGGGCTTCCCCAGAAGTTCGTTTACCAAGAGTTTCGCATCCTTCCAGGAGCAGAGATATCCCGATGGGCCCAGAGTCGGACCATCCGGGTTCAAGCCCATCTTCACCGCCTACTAGCGAGGTGTCTTGGGCCTGACACTGCTAGATGCTCAGACTCTGCACCCAGCCAGTGGGCTGATGAGCTCTCCTGTCTTCAGACGGCCTGGAGAGTCCAGCACTCACTAAAGCCTGGCACCCAAAAACCCATCACGGGAAGAGGCACACAGTTTTTCACCCATAACTCGGCTGCTGGGCGCGGAGCTTCCAGACGCAGGCGCTGTACCCGTCACGGATTGAGCAATGCACCCCCAGCTAGCGCACGTCCTTTGCATTTGGCGGGGGTGTGGTCCATCTTTTTATTCCCCCCAAACAAAATTACCAGCGAGAGACCATATGTGGTAGGTAACGGTAGTTCCGAGCATGCATCAGGACGCCTTCCTGTGAGTGCAGCCGAAGGACTGAGGCACAGAAGTGCACAGTCGTGTCTGTGCCTCTGGAGAGCTTTACCCCGATGAGCCCGTTCTTGTTTCATGTGTTTTCACGTGTCATGAAAATTATTCCTTTAGGAAATTTAATGTGGTTAAAGAGAAAACAGGAGGTCAACTCTCTGAACACAATTCTAAGTGCAGAGCGCAGGGCTGTTACTCTAAGTGCAGCGTGGTTCAGCAGATCTCTGGAGCCTACTCATTGCATAACTGGAACTTTACACCTGTTAACTAGCAACTCCCCGACCCCTCTGCTCTCTAGCAACCACCGTTCTTTCTGCTTCTGTGTATGTCATGACTTTAGATTCTCTAGTTAAGGGGGAGCTGGGTGTGGTGGTGCACACCTGTAATCCTAGTACTTGGGAGGGTGAGGCAGGAGGATCTCAGCAAGTTTGAGGCCAGCCAAGGCTACACAGAGTTCAAGGCCAGCCTGAACCACATGGGAAACTGTCTCAAAAACACCACAAAGAGCAGAGGTTAGAGGAATCTGTCTTTCTGTGCCTTTAGTACATTATTCCCCTTAGCACAATGCCCTCAGTACCCATTGGTGTTTCTGCCTGTGTCAGCACTGATCTCTTTTCTTTTGTGGGGGGGG